GTCATAATTTAAACTGTATGAGGAATGGGTTGAACAGAGGCAGCAAGTGACCAGGACATGTTGACACAAGAGTTAAACATGTGTGCTGTGTTGCCTTGCACTGTTATTTATTGTGGGGCTCAGGGCTGGGGAGGGGGCTGTATTTTGGGGGGAAGGTCAGATCCTATTTCAGTTCCAAAGGCACCGTACGCTTGGACCTGAACGTGAAGTGTCCGAAATGCTTCGTTTCAGGTTCATAAGGGAGTGCATGGGATTGTCCAAGACAAGAGTGGCAAGCCGATTTCTAAAGCTACCATTGTTCTGAATGAAGGTTTGAGGGTCTATACTAAAGAAGGGGGCTATTTCCACGTGCTCCTGGCTCCAGGTTTTCACAGCATCGATGCCATAGCCAACGGGTACCAGCAGAAACACGTCAAGGTGCGTGAATGTCCATGCCAGGGATCTTCCCCCACTCCCTGCACACACAGACTTCCCTGTTTGGCTGCTGATTATGTGCCGTCAGGAGATGTTTTCTGCCTTGATACAGTGGATGGAGAACAACTTGCCAGCACAGCAGGGTTGTTTGAGCAGTGGCTTCTCTTTCCATTGCACTTATCTTTGCTGACTGGGGCAGGACTGGGCGGATGACAAGTGTCTCTCTTGTCTGGACACCCAGTACAGGTGAAAACTCTGAGGTGACCTAATCTCTCGTGTCTTTGTGCAGGTCTTTGTACGTGATGATGCACCCAGCTCTGTGTTCATAATATTTGACACAGAAAACAGGATTTTTGGACTGCCAAGGGAGCTGGTTATAACTGTTGCAGGTAAAGCGACACTTTTTTATCAAAGCTTTGAGCTTTTCTTTCTATATCAGTTCATGCTGACCGTGACCCTCTGCTGAACTGGGAAAGCAGCCTTCAGACTTAAGTCATCTCCAGCTTTCCCTTTTGAACACACACTTTTCCATGCAAACTGGTCCAATGGGTCTGGTGATGCTGGGCTAGCAGGAGGGAGGGTGGAAGTGGAGTGTGTTGCAGGGATTTGAGGGGTCCACAATGTACTTTGAGATGCCTGGAATGGGGAGAACTTGTGTGTGGAGCTGGGAGATCTGGTTCCTTCCCCAAGGTTTCTTTGAGGGCTGTGGCACCAGGTGAGCATTAAGAGATTGTTTTATGTTATCAAGGTGGAAGCTGCTGTGGGGGTGGGAGTTTAGACCCAGTGGTCTGCAGAGGAGCTCGGTGATGCTCTCCTAGACTGCAGGCACAGAAAATAAAGTGAGTGCTGTTCTGTTCTGGGATCAGCTCTCCCATCTTCCATGGCCTAGGAGGAAGGAGCAGGGTCACAGAGAGATGAGGAAAGCGGCTGTGACCGTAGGAGGGAAGAGGGATCAAGCCTGGGAGCCTCTGTGGTGAGGGAACATGGCATTAACATTAGTGTCCTCTCTCTGGCAGGTGCAAGTATGTCTGCTCTGGTCCTCACTGCCTGCATCATCTGGTGTGTCTGCTCCATCAAGTCCAACAGGCACAAGGATGGCTTCCACCGCCTCCGGCAGCACCACGACGACTACGAGGACGAAATCCGCATGATGTCCACTGGCTCCAAGAAGTCCCTCCTGAGCCACGAATTCCAGGATGAAACAGACACTGAAGAAGAAACACTGTACTCCAGCAAACACTGACACCTCCCGGGCAGGAAAGGAGGTTGCCATGGACCAGAGCCGGTGGTGGGGGGCGGTCCCTGTGGTTCAGTTTTGAGACATCAGCTGCAGGATGTGTCCTCCAGAGGGGCAGGTGGCAGCTCCCAGCTTCCCTCTGTTTGCTCTGTCCCTATGTATGTGCAAATCAGTGGGTGCTGGAGGCTGTTTTCTGGCATAAGGACATGGTTTTGTTACATTTTTGGGTCAAGATCTGGAGGTTCACATGAAGTGGTTTGAAAGGCAACTTAACAGGGTGGCCAGCAGAGGTTTTAGCACTTCCCCAGCATCTCAGCACAGGGAATAGATGGTGGGGAAGTGCCCCAAGACCTGCCTAGAATTGTGGCTACAACACTCCAAAAAGGTTTCCTACCTGTTTTGATTTCGTATTTTCCACTCTGTGCTTGAGGGGAAGCCAGATCCTTCACGTGACTCCACGTTCTGCAGGGCAGCCCTTGGAAAAAGCCCCTCCAAAAAAAAGAAAAAAGCCTTTGATTCTCAGCTGTTCCCTTGGAGCTTTTCCCACCATGGGATGCTGTGGCCTGCTGTGATCTGCAGTGGTTGTGGAGCTCCTCTAATTGTCATTATTTTCAGGGAGTGGCTTTGGCACCCTGAAAGCTGGAGGACGTGACATCATTCTTGATGTGAGCTGGAGAAAGCCAGAGCCTCAGTGAACTCTGACAGAGTTCCATTGCCTGCCAGCTCTGCCACGGGGCTGTTCCTGACTTCTGGGGAAGAAAGAAACTTTATCCCCATCACCCCTGGTTGTGTTTTGTTTGTGTAATAGGCTTGGCTTTGGGGGAGGTCTCATGTTAATGTTACAACAGCTCAGTGTCTGCAAGAGCAGCCGGAGGTTGTTCTAAGGGAATAGATTCACTGATTTGTAGAAAAGCAATCAGTTACTGCTCCACCTGATCAGCTTTGCTCAAATCCACCACTGTTCAGGAGGAAACAGTGAAATCTGTATACCACTGCTTTGTACTGGAGCAGCAGGGAGAGGTCATGGGAGTATCCATGGCCCACCTTTAGCACTAAATTTGGAAGAAAAACTGCACCATTTGCCAGTTTCCACATAATACCATTTCAGTCACCAAGCTCTGGTGATGGCAGGCAGCAGATTAGCTGCTGGTTTGGTTCTGTTCTGCTCCTGCAGCGTCCCTGAAGTGCAGAGCAGGAGCTCCACCTGTGTGTGTGGCTGTAGCTGAGGCTGCTCTGGGTCTGGGGGGCAAGATGTGAGGAAGGGCTGAATTGTGCTGAAGGAGGAGGGAAAAGCAGCCAAATTCTGTTGTGTAGCACTTGGCTGGAGGTTGGAAAGAGGAGCTGCAGCACACATCCCCAAGACATGTGGCATTTGTGGGGAATAGAAGGGATGTCCAGAAGGGAAGAATGGCTGAAATGCTTGATTTCTAAAGCCTTTATGCATCTCTGATGTTCCTGTGCTTTCTGGACAGAAGGCTGGGGTTAGAATAGGCACTTATTTTCTTGCTGCTCGTTTTCTTTTTTAATTCTTGCCCCACTGACCTGATCTCTGGGGTGCAGGAGGAGCCTTAGGCCTCTAGTTTGCCCTGAGCTGCTCTGGGATGTCCACTAGAGAAACCCTCACGTGGTGTCCACGGTGGGGGTGTTTGCACCCGAATATATGATGGGGTCTGCTCTGCAGGGCTCTGACCTGGTCTCCTCTGGGGGAACAGCACAGTGTGTTCCCCTTTTGAGGCTGTTGGGCCGTGTCAGCTGGGGAAGAGGCTGTTCCTCACCTCTGCCTGTGGTGATGCCCTGCCAGAACCACGTGGCTGTGCTGTCATTCTCATCATCTCACCTGGTTCTGTGCAGCCATCTGGGGGCACAGAGGTAACCCTCAGTCACCAGTGTACCTTCTTCCCTGTTCCACAGGGAATTCTACTGCAAGAAACATGAGAAGGTGTGGCTGAGGTGCTGTGCTGGGAACGGGGAGACGAGGCTGAGCATTCCCCACACTCCTGTCCCCCCTGCCCTGTTCGTTCTGCAGGAACCATGAACATCTCTGCCTGTTCCCAGCTCATCCTGCTGAGCAGGGGATTGCTTTTAGTCCTGGGCCGTGTCCCTTTTCCATGTGTACGGGGCTGCAGGACACCAGCACACAACAGCATTAATCCTGCCTCATCTCTGAACTGTTCCTCCTTTAACAAGAGACACAGTAGGTTTTATTTAAAGTCGAGTTTGCAAATGGCTCTTAGGGCTCTGTTTGGGCTTTGTTTGCTCTGGCAGCAGGTAACGGGGCAGAGCTGGCCGTGCTTTGTCCCTCTAGCAATAAGTCTTGGCCCTTTCCCTCAGAGTGCATTTCGCAGTTAGCTTGGAGTAGGTGTGTATATTTAAGGTGAGTGGATTTGAGATGTTTTGCAAACGTGTGAGACTTTTCCTACGCAGCAGGACCAGGTGGGGGTGCCTGGCTCTGGCCCCGGCTCTGTGCTCAGAGCTTCGCAAGCGCTGGGACCGTTCCCGAGCAGTTTTGGGAAGGCAGGAGCGGCTCCCCCCGAGCCCTCGGTCCGTCTGTCCGTCCGTGCGTCCTCCCCGTGCCGAGGAGCCGGTCCCCGCTGTCGCTCCGTGCACTTGTGCCTTCAAATGTAATTTTAAAAGGGACTTGAATCGCCGATTCCTGGCAGCGGGAGGGGAGGGGGCGGCGCGGGGCCGGGCCCGGCTCTGCCCTCGGCCGCCGCCTGTTTTTTACCTGTTATACTGAGATCAATAATCTGTATAAAACTATTTTGATGTCCACCTGGGTTCTCTCGTTCTTACTGCAGCGGGGCAGGGGGGACTCGGGGCCGGGAGGAGGGCGCTGGGCGGGACCGGGACATCGGGATCGGGGAACGGGACCAGGGGATCGGCACCGGGGCTGGGGACCGGGATCAGTGGATCGGGACAGGGGCCCGAGGAGAAGAGTGAGAGCGAGACGGGGCACGAGGGATCTGGACCAAGAGAGAGGGATCGGGATCGACACCGAGGGAGCAGGATCTGCACCGGGAGATCAGGGTCGAGGGGAGCAGGAGCAGGATCTGCACCGGAAGATCAGAGTCGAGGGGAGCAGGATCTGCACCGGGAGATCAGAGTCGGGGGAAGCAGGATCTGCACCGGGAGATCAGAGTCTGGGGAGCAGGATCTGCACCGGGAGATCAGGGTCTGGGGGAGCAGGAGCAGGATCTGCACCGGGAGATCGGGATGGGGCCGGGGCCGGGAGCTGCCGGTGGAGGCGCTGTGTCCGCCCGGCCGCTGGGCGGCGCCGCGGCGGGAGGCCCGCCCGTGCCGGGGGCCGCTCCGTCCCGCCCGTCTCGGCGGCGCCGGCCCGCGGCTGACGTTGGACAACAAAGATGGCGGCGGGGAGCAGCAACTACTGGGAAGGCGAGTGGGGCCGGGGGCGGCGGGGCCGGGGCGGCCGCGCCCCGCGGGGCTCCCCTGGGACACGGCCCGGGCAGGGCGCGACGGCACAGCCGCCGGGGCCCCTCTGCTCGCCTCCGGGGGTCCGGCGGGCGCGGGCGGTGCCGGCCCGTCAGCCATGAGGCGCCGGTGCCCGCGGAGCCCCGCGGCCGTGGGGCAGGGCCGGGGGTGCTCAGCCGGGCCCCCCTTGGGGCGTGGGGCGCTCCCCCAGCCGGGAGGGTCCCCCCTTCCCCTGTGGGTTCCCCTCCCGGGCGGTCCGTGGGACCGGGACCCCCCGAGGCGCGGGGGCCCCGGGCGGGTCCGTGACTGTCCCCCCGCCCCGCGCAGATCTCAGGAAACAGGCGAGGCAGCTGGAGAACGAGCTGGACCTGAAGCTGGTCTCCTTCAGCAAGCTCTGCACCAGCTACAGCAGCGGCCGAGACGGAAGGCGCGACAGGTATAGGTACTAAGCCCGTTTCTTTATGTTTTAAACGCTGCCCCTGGTGCTGGGTTCGTTTTTATCGTTTGCTGAGTGCTGGTCCCACCTGTGGCTCATTTCGGCACTTGCTGCTGGTGTCGGTCTTGCTGTGATTTCGGGGTGTGGGTCAGGAGGGGCTGTGGGTGACGCTTGTCACTGGGGAGAGCTGAGTTTAAAGTTCAGTCTGTGTGAGGTCAGTGGGAACTGGTGACAGAAGTTCTTGATGCCCATTATATGGGCTTGTTTCACATTTTTTATTGTACTGAACCAGCAGGAGGTTTTCAGGGACCTCAGCATTAGGGGAATTCAGCCTTACACCTCCCAGGTGTTTCCATTTGTAATCCCAGTTTTAAGGGAGCTGGAAGGCTGAGCAGCTCTGGCTGGTGCAGGGCTGGCAGGGAACAAGCTCTCTCTTCACAGGGGTGGCTCTTTCTTCCTGGCTTTCTCCTAAGGTGGGTGATAATCACAGAACCACGGAATGGTTTGGGTTGGAAGGTACCTTAAAGGTCACCTCATTCCAACCTCCTGCCGTGGGTAGGGACAGTGTTAATGAGAATGAGGAGAGCTGCACATATATTTTTGTATGTGTATATGTATATATCAACCAGATAAGTAGGTACTTGTGCATGTACATGAGTAGTTTCTGTTTGCTTTAGTCAGACTCCTCTTTGACTGAAGAATTACTCTGATAAAACTCTTCCAGTCTTTCTATGTTGGGGGCCAAAGGTGAGCTCTTCCCTGCAGTTCCACAGCAGGAATTATCAACTTCTCTGTCCGAGTGCAACCTTTAAAAACTGCCATTCCTTGTATCAGTTATGACTGTGATTACTGTAAGGGTGTGTGTATTGATTTTTTTTTTAAATTTGATGAATTAATCCATTTTGAACCTTTCCCTGAGTTTCTGGTTCTGGAAGCCTGAGAGCACCAGAGCACTTTTGTTACTTGATGTGCAATCTAATTGTTTTCGTTATTTTTGCTGTCCTTTGCAAAACTGTCTTCTCTTACTCGGGTTAAAGCAGATTACCAAAGCCAGGAGTTGTCTCAGAGGGTTCTTAGTTGTTGCACTTCTACAGGCTGGTCTTAGATGTGACTTTTCCTTTTCCTTATGGTTTTAGTTTATCTTAAAGAGCAAAGAGGGAAGGTGTGTGAAGCTGTAATTGTGTGTGTTGCTCTGTAGAGCACTGATTGCTTAATAGGTCGGTGGGTTGTCCCAGCACTGTGTTATTAAGGTGTGATTATGCTGCTGTAACAGTGCAGTGCTCCCTCCTGCCAGTAAATAAATAAATCGAGTTTAAAAGCTGGGGAGAGAAGGACATTGGTGCCAGACAAAGGTGTGTGGTGTCAGGCATGTCTTCCAAGGAGAGGTTGTGTTTCCCCCAGGTGGTAGTGTGTCATCCATTCAGATAAGAATTAAAGGCAGGTGTGATAAGGAAATGTAGTTTTCCTGGGCAGTGGAGCTTTCCAACCCCTGCCCCCGTTGTTTCCTTGTTTCTTGCATTCGTGGAATGATGCACTTCTCAGTAACTGCTCCTCCCCTTTTCCTCAGCTCTGACACAACTCCTCTCTTAAATGGATCAAGCCAGGACAGGATGTTTGAGACCATGGCCGTGGAGATTGAACAGCTTCTGGGAAAGGTAACTGGAGTTCCTGTGGCTTTTCCGCAGCCTTCAGGAAATGCCGCAGCCCCGGGGTTGCGTGGGGGACGCTTGGAAACGCCAGTGTGGGGGTTGGACAAGGTGTGCGTGTCCAGGCGGCTCCTTCAGCTCCTGCATGGTATTTTTCATACAAGAAGGAGCCATTTCATGGTTTTATTGGGGTTGTTTTCCCTCCTGCAGCTGACGGGGATAAACGACAAAATGGCAGAGTACACCAACAGCGCGGGCGTGCCGTCCCTGAACGCGGCGCTGATGCACACGCTGCAGCGCCACAGAGACATCCTGCAGGTAACAGGGCCTGGGGACGGCTTTGGTGGACACCAGCTGCCAGGTGAATTGGGTTTTTTTGACAAGTACCAGCTGCCTGAAATGGTTTCAGACGTAAAGTTGCGACTTGAGCATAAAGAAGTCGTGTTGATTGTTCAGAGAATGCTTTTTTTTCATCTGGTGTAACAGCAAAATAAACCCAAGAACACTCTTCACCACACTAAACAAGTAGGTCTTATTAGATCTGATTGAACAAACAAGGAGAAATTCCAACACAAACTAATTCATCAGAAAGGTGAGGATAGACAAAACTGGGAGAAGGAATTACAGTGGATTTCCCGCCATGACCTTGTCTCTAGATATCAAATTTAGCAACTACTGTAAGAGCAGTGAGTTTTAAAAATACTTTGCGTTGCCTTCCAGCCATTTTTGCTGTTCACTTCACAAGCTGGTCTTGCACTTTGTATTAGAGAACAGTTGGCACTTGAAAAGGTGGTTGGATCTTCCACGGGTATATTGTGTGGTTAAACCCCAGGATCCTAATTTTGGAACAACTGTTTTTGTTACAGGATTACACACACGAATTCCACAAAACCAAAGCAAACTTCCTGGCAATAAGAGAAAGGGAGAATCTGTTGGGATCAGTACGGAAGGATATCGAGTAAGTCGGGTGGTTTGTTCCAGCAGTGGAGTGGGACTGTCCTCGGAGGGAGGAGGTGGAAACCCTTCTGGAGGAGAGCACTTGGCAAAGCTCGCTTGTCCGTGCTCTGAGTAAAGCAGAAGTTCCTTCAATTCACAGTTTTTATTAAGGTTCTGACAGGACTCTGTTTTGTTGGGGTTTAGGTCGTATAAAAGCGGGTCTGGCGTGAACAACAGAAGAACAGAACTATTCCTGAAGGAGCACGAGCACCTTCGAAAGTAGGTGTTGTTTCCTATTGACTTATGTTGGAGGTGCCTGACTTTTCTGGGGGATGAAACATTCTGAATTTCAAGTATGATGTGAAAGCTGTGCCCACTGGGACAATAATGTGTGCCCTGCCCTGTGTATTCTGTGACAGAGCTGCTGCTTTTGCAGCTGGATGAACGTTTATGGGTCATGCTGAGTGTGAGGTGTGTGGGGTAGGTGATGGTCAAGGTAATTGTCAGTGACTTTGGCTTTAGGGTCTTGTCAGTGACTTCTGTGTTGTCTTCAGTGGGCTTTCACAAGTCACTGGTGCCTCAGACCTCCTCCTCCCAAGGGAGTAGCTGCCTTTACACACTGACTGGGGGAAGGGCTAAGAAACAAAACAGAAACTCCCATGATTTGGCTGTTTTTCCCTTTCCTTATTTGTCAGAGTCAGACAGAGAAGAACCTTTCTGCCTTTTGCCTCTGCTGAACGTGTAGAAAAGGTGATGGAAGAGACTAATTCAGTTACCTGTGCACTTAAATACTGCCAACTGGGTCTGCTTTACTCACCCAGATAACAGGCAAAATAGAAAGCACTTTATTCCTGTTGCAGAGAGGGCATGAGGTTTTGAGCAGCTGCTTTGGGTGTCCCCTGTGCAGCAAAAGCAGCAGAGCCAAGAGCAGAGCACTGCAGGGTTTGTGTTCTTTGGAGAGTCCAGAGGCAGCGCTGATTTTCCTGCCTCTCTCCTTGCCTGTAGTGGTGCTAAACCTCAGGCTCACACCAGAGGGCAGGCTTGCATTTAGAAAAGGACAAAATAAATAAAAAATTACCTGTGGCTTTCCCAAATGTGCTTTCCTATAGATAAGTTAAACTTGTAGCCAGAACTGCACAAAAAGCTTTTACAGGAAATTTAAACCATTTTTTTTCCCCGTTGTGGCTTAACAGCACTTCATTGTCAGTTTTCTTTAATACCTTTAAGACATAGAAATTAATTGGTTTAAAGCTTGAATTTTGAGTTTTGTTAGGTTGAATTTATTACTAAACATGCTTGATCATGAAATAGAAAGTTTCCAGGAAAAAAACCAACCAATCTTAATATTCCAGAGGTGAATCTTACCTGAAACGTTGTACTTTGAAGAATCAGTGTCAGTTAATCTGAGTAAACCTGATTCTATCCAGGTGTTGTGTTTAGGATTTTTTTGTTTTGCTTTGCTTTTTGTTGTTGGAGAGGTGATAAGTACTTTTATATATTTGGCATTTAGGATTAAAATGCATGAAAAATAGAGATAAATAAGGCAGTTTTAGAAACAGTTAAACCATCTTCTGGGTGATTATTTGAAAAATATCAAGACTTTAAAGAAAACCAACTCTACCGTGACATTGAGAAAAAAGAAAACAAGAAATAAGTGTGAGTTGGGGGTCTTTAGGAAGCAGGGCCAAAACTAATCATGGAATGCCACTGCAAGGTGGAGATAACTGTAAGGACTGTGAAGAAATCCAGTGTAGAAGCAGAAGACAACACTGGCAAGAAATCAAAGCTTGCAGGATGTTCAAAACTTTCAAATTGAGAATCAGCTCAGAAAGAGATACTGGCAGAGGAAATTATTAGAGAGGTTCAACATATTTGTCTTCAAAGAAAACAGTTAACGAGCTGTTCGTGCCAAAAAGCTGTAAAAGCTAGGAAGAGGTCCCAAGAAATCACCAGGAGCTGGCAGATTACACCAAACATGCTCCTAGGATAAACTGACAAGCTTTGTGTGAGTCACCATGCTGAATATTTGCAGTGCAGTAAACCCTGGTGCCAGACTAATTGACAGAACTACACGAGGAATATATTTATGTTGTGACAGTAAAAACCCAAATGTGCTTTCAGGGGAGGGAAACCAGCGAAGAGAGCGTGAGAAATGGACGTGGCAGCACAAACTTTTACAAGTGCATTATTATGTGCTGCAGAGGAATGTGATAATGCCCCAGGAATGATAAATTCCTGTCAGATATTGGAGTGCCCACCTAGTCTTGGCCCTGCTTAATTTATGCTGTTAAGTACTTTGACCTGTTACATATTTATGCCATTACCTGATGATGGAGGATGTTGAGCTGTTGCCCCAGTGCAGAGTCGTGGCCCTTTTTTTGTGGACTGCCATGTGAGGCAGGATAAATGGACACTGGAATTTTCTCTTGGCTGTGTTTTCCATGAGGGCTCTTAAAGAGCTGCTGGCAGCCCTGGGCAGGGGTTGTTTGTGGGGAGGAAGAGGAGGAGAGCCAGGAAGCCTTTTTTCTGGGATGGACTTGGGAGAGAAGCTGGATCTCTGCTTTTTACCTGAATCTACCTTTTTTATTTTGGCGTAATATTTTGAACATCGTCTCTTCTGGAAGAAAACTGAAAGAGACTCTGTGTGTTGATGTTGTATATGAAGGTAAACCTGGAAAAGAAAGGGAAATGAAAAACCTGTGAGTAAAAAATGTTGATGAATAAAAGGACCCAACGTACATTAGGCACCAAGAGAATGACAACAGCTGAAGCTCTCTGCAAACCCTGGCTGTGCCTGTCTGTCCATTAAGCTGTGAGGATCCTGGATCCATTTGGAGTCCCTTTCCCAGGGTGGGGCTGGCTGCTGTGTCAGTGCTGCTGGCACAGCGTGTGAGCACTTGCACGTTGGGCTCACGGTGCTGCTGCTGCATCCCACTCCTGGGAGGGTTAGAGAACACACACTGTGTTCTTCTCCCTGTGAAAGCTTCACTGCTGCCTCAGTTCATTTTAGAAATCATCTGATTGTGAGTTTTATTAGGAAAGGAGGTTTGTCCAGGAATTCTGTTGCCTGTGGGCAAGTCACGCAGTTTACAGGTAATTCAAGGATACCTTCACCTGCCTCTGGAGAGACAAACAATAATGCCTAAATTTCTTAATAAAAACTTTAACCCCTGTTAATTAAAATAAGGCTGGCAGATCTTGTTGAATATTGATGACCTCTTAGTATTTTTACTTAATACCTCCGATTTTTTGGCATGCCAGATGCTTAAAGAACTACTTCTTGGGGCTGTGACGTTCCCTGAAGGTGTTTGATCTTTGCTGTTTGTGTGCTTTTGGCCAGGGATGCAAACAAGTCATCCTTTTTTCTTGCAATGCTGTTTTGCATCTAAAGGAAGCAGTTTTGATGAATAGATGTAGCTTAGCATTTTAAAAACTGCTCTGAAAAGCGCTGTCTCAGAGGAAAGAATTCTGTCAACTGAGTGTCTGCCCTGAGAGGTTCTGCAGTTATTGATGAGTTGTAGTCTAAGTCAGCGAAGAGGGGACTAATGTGCTTGATTAAATTTGCAATATTGAGTGTATATGCAAGTGAAAATTTCCCTTGTGTTGGTACTTGGGTTGTTATGTGAGGGGTATCAGGTGATACTGCTGAATTTGTGCTAAAACTGAGGAAGGTTTCCAAAGATTAGATAGAAATTACAGATTGTATTACCTGGGAGGAATTCCCTGTAAAACCAGAGGAATGCAGACCACTTAGTGGTCACCAGCATTTGCTGTGGTAGATCTATTCTGTCATTGTAGGGCCAGTGTGTGACTGTTGCTTTATTACTCAGCTCCAGTGCTCCAAAATTTGTCGTTTATCCCTTTCCAAAAGAAGTGGCTGGTGGGGAAGCAGGTGCAGATATCATTAGCTGTGTTTTTAGTTGTTGTCAGGTGACTGCATGGTTCTGGTGAGTGTTGCTATGCAGCCTATGAATATATCCAGTAAAAAAAAATCATCTTAGATGGAGTATCATGTGTGAGTGCATCTATTGATGGGATGAACCTGTGTTCAGACAGCCCTGTAGTGTCTTAAAATGTTTAGCACAAGGCCAGATTGGTGAGTAAGAAACTTTGAAGGAGGAAAAGGAGGAGAGCAAACAAATCAGAGGGGCGTGTTCTGGATTGTGAAAGGGAAAAGAGGAGCGAGAGAACTGAGCAAAGGAACTAACGGGAATCTGCAGCAGTTGCGTAATGGGGTATTAATAATACATACCTGGGATGATTAGGGGAAATTAGTGTTTGAGCAGCACTTCACGTGTGTGAGGGACTCTGGAGTGCTGAATATTTGTGTTACTTTTGTTATGGCCTTTCATTTTTCAATAGCAGGGCTGTTTGAAGTTTCCTGTTGTTGTTTGGGCAGAAATGGGCACATTCAGCAGAGAATAATCACCAGGAAACTGCTCCCAAACTTGGTTGGTGATACAGGCCAGATCCTGGTGGAGGGAGTGACTAACTGGCTGGTTTTCCTCTAAATATTGCCTTTACCTGCAAGTTTTCACTTCAGCACTGATTTGCACAGAGAAATCAGCTCAATGAGATACAGAGACACAGGGTTTTTGATTTTGGGAAAAAGCTGCCACTTTTCTACCTTAATTTAGTTTCCTTTTCTTTTGTTATCCCTGCTCTCTGCTCTGCACGCCCTGATTTCCACTCGCTGTGCACTTGCTGCTCAGGTTCCTGTGGGTTTGAGTGGACCTTGAGGATTGGGTTGAAACCAGAGAAGTTCTGTTGCCTCCCTTCCATCCCCTCCCTCAGCTCCCCTTGGAGGGGAGGACACACAGATGCCTGGGCAGTCAGTGCTCCAGCTGACACACAGTTCACCACACATCTCCTTCACCTTCTCTTGGAAAGAGAGACACTGTAGGAAAAACAGCTAATTCACCAATTCCTTTTTCATTCCCAAGGTGGCTGGGGAAGCAGCAGGGAGGGAGGAGTGTGATGAGTCTCTTCCCAGTGGGTGCCTGCTGGCTGCCTGCTCTGCAGCCTCAGAACTGCTGAGCTCCACTTTAGTCAGGCCCAGTAAGGGTTTTTTCTTAATTACCAAACTTGCCTCTTAATTAAACTTACTTTTTGTTTGTTGTCAGAGCAGAATGTGGTGTTTTTGTGGTTCCATTCTCTCAATTTTAATGCAGATTTTAACTGGAGCAGCACTTGGTGTAATGAATAATCTTTGCTGTGTGGCAGTTATGAAGAACCCAAACAGCTCTGCCCTGACAGGACAGACGTGCTCTCCACGGCTG